GTTAAGTACAGACTTGCGCGCTCCAATTAACCAAGACCGGTCGAAAGCTAATCCGCCATCAAACCAACGGTTAATCAACACCAGTCGGACGGTTGTGCACTCAAAGGCAATCCAACGCAAAGAGAATCATATTCCATCAGCAATCGAAATCTGAATCAAACTGTGAATTAAACGAGCCAACAAATAGAATGATTCCATCAGCAATGGAACTGTGAATCAAACTAGCCAACGCAAAGAGAATCGTAGTCCAACGCAAAGGAATCGAACTCGGAATCAAATTGGAATCAAATGCAATCCAACGCCAATAAAATAATTCCATCAGCAATCGAAATATGAATCAAACGAGCCAACGCAAATAGAATCATAGTCCATCAGGAATCGAACTCTAAATCAAACTGGAATCAAACGAGCCAACAACGCAAAGAGAATCTTCACATTAGCAATCGAACGCTGAATCAAACTGGAATAAAACGATCAATCATGGACTAGGAATCACAGTCAGAGCATACTCACTCTACCACTTTCCTCAATGAATGTGACTGAAATTACGACCCGTTCTAGATGTACCTGACCGCAATGTCGTCCACAGATTAGTTGAAAAAGTGCTAGTCTGAGTACGCCCTAAGAATCTTACTTGCGATCAACCACGACAAACCAAACGCGCAATCCTGATGAGATTAAAATGGGATCAGAATTGGGGCATTATATATACATATTGTCACATTGTGAATCAGAGCGCAAAAAAGGGGAAAGAAAAAAGGAAAAGGAAAAAAGGGGGAGGGGGAAGAGGTAAGGAAAGCTCCACCTGTTCATAACCTCTTACGTACAAGGCCAGCCACGTGGATGACAGGTTGAGCGCTGGCTGCCCCCATCCCCGTGTGTCACAAGGACCCACACATATATATATATTCAAACAAGCGAAGTAAGGTTCCGATCGGAATGAAACGCTAATCAAACGCAAGCTCAATGCGACTCGAGAGATAGCTGCAAGCCAAGCAAACCCATCAGTCTCAAGGCAACACAACCAATCATAAGTAGTCCCAACCAATCATAAGTACGGAAGTCCCAACCAATCATAAGTAGGGAAGTCCCAACCAATCATAAGTAGGTAAGTCCCAAGACAATCAACATCTAAACACGTACGTCGACACACGGCGGATCCCTGGTCTATCAAGTACACATCACCTGGCCATTTACCCGTCGTCTCTCCGTGTTCATGATGAACAAGACGTCGTCTTTCAATCGCTCTCAGGCTTTACGACCCAGCAGCAATACACGGTCTTCTGCTCACTGCCCATCAACATGTCGTCGTCAGCAGATCGTCGAAAGGTCGTCGTCAGCAGATCGTCGAAAGGTCGTCGTCAGCAGATCGTCGAAAGGTCGTCGTCAGCAGATCGTCGAAAGGTCGTAGTCAGCAGATCGTCGAAAGGTCCACGTCAGCAGATCGTCGTCAGCAGATACTCGAGATCATCCATCGATGGATCGTCAAGGGATCGTCGATAGATCGTTGATCGGCAATAGATCGTTAAAAGATCGTCAAAAGATGGTCGATAGACCTACAGATCATCTACAGATCGTCATATTAAGCAGATAGTCACCGGATCGAATCTGGAGTACTGATTTCGTAACGTATTGAAAGAACATGGAAGGGGAATATTGACAGATAAGAATAACGGCGGACTAACACTGGTAGGATGTTTTTGACTGATATTCGAATGAAATAGCGATCAGATACACCCAGTGCCAGCAGCCGTGATAGCAGCCAAATACGTCCCAGTGTGAATATGATCTGACCTCAAGTTCCTCTATCCTCGGATCATGTACGGTGAATAAACGGTGACAATTGCTCTGCGCTCCATATGGCGGCAGAGAGACGATGGTAGATGAAAGCAGAAAAAGGGCAAGAAGAAGTCGTCTTGTCTAGCTTCTGCTCAACTTTGGCTCCTGAACGCGAAGCAAGAGAAGAACGGCCCGCGCTCGAAGAAGCTCAAATTGATGGCAGAAATCGTCCACAACAGAGCAGATGACACCGTTCTCGATATCTACACGAGCCCCTAGCACGTACACCTCGATAGGGACAAAACTGTTGCGCTCTCCAAGTACCAGACTCCATTCATTTCCGCCTAGAACAAGGAAGAAAAAAGAAGCAAATTCTCGATCGACAAATTGAACGCTACCACCGGTTTAAAACACGCTCTGCAAGCACGGACGAACGCAATCGCAACCTCTCTCTCTCTCTCTCTCTCTCTCTCTCTCTCTCTCTCTCTCTCTCTCTCTCTCTCTCTCT